CAAGATGATGATGGTGTATATGATTCCAATTTTCATTTTCGGCTTGTAGCTCTGCCAAGAGAATTTAAACAAATCTCAATTTACTCCATGTACACATATAAAACTCTGTGAAGTTATGAATATATGTATGTATGTGTGTATATATATATTATAAATAAAATTATATATACAGATAATACATATATGTATATATAAGTATGTGTGTGTCTACTATTCCAATTATAAGAAACAAAAAAGAAGGATGGGGAAATTAGATGAAAGAAAGCAATAAAGGGCCGGTAGCGCTTTTTGCTTTTCATTCTCATGAAACGCTTATTGTTACCAATGCTTTTGTCAGTGGAACAAGCAAGGAATATAGGTATGGAATATGAATAAAGTGGGTGGATCCTTAGAAAATGAATAATAGATAGGAATTGAACTCATGATACTAATTATTGATTATGTGTTCACATTCATATACCATTCCAAGATAACTTGTTTTGAAGCCAAATATAACAGATAAAATCATGTATCCAAACAAAATGATACCAGCGATCTTTTTTTTCCCCCTAAAATCTAGCCAAAAATTTTCGGTAACCCGTCATTTCGAGCATTTCACAATAAATATTAAGTAATAAGTATAATATTTAAAAACTAAAAATTGACAAATAAGTAAAATATTTAAAATAAAAAATTAAATAATTTGTAAGATTTGATTAGACTTGATGAGTACTCGAGCATAATATTTTCAAGCTCGAGCTTGATTTGCTACTCAAGTAGGACCGTGCTCAACTCGATTCACTTGTACATGTACTTTCCCTCACCCTTATAATTTAATACCTATCTCTTCCACAACTAATGTGGGATAAACATAACAACTAATATGTTTTAAGCCCAAATAGAAATGGGAAAAAAATAAAATCACAAAATTGAGCCTGAACAAATTTCTACATCAAATGTAAATAAGAAAGCCTAAGTTGTAACTCTGATGATAAATCTTATGCAACATAAACAAAAATTAAGTTGAAGTTTTCAATAAAACATTGGCAGCAAGTCTATAAATCTAAAAATGTAAAGATCAAACAACTATTTTAGTTGTGATGGAGATTTGTATTGATATTTAGGAAATTTCTTTTGTTATATCTCTTATGATTAATTTTGAAATGAAACAGGAGAATCTGACTTTTTTACACAAAAATTAATTGCTCAATTATCAAGTGGGCAACAAATTCGATAATAAACCTCAAACATTTAAAGTTTGAGTAGACATAGACAATCTAATTACTAAGATGACTAGTTTAATATTTTTTTATTACAAATGATTTATTAGTTTTAGGATCTGTCTAACGGGTAGCCAAAGTTATAATTCTGATATTAAATTTTTGAAAAGATAAGATTAATTAGGGAAATTGTATAAATATAAGGGAGGCTTGTGAGGACCCGAAAATTTTGCTTATTTTATTTATTTTACTGGCTAAAATAAGTATTTACTCACCCGATTTCTCTGAGTATTATTTTCTAAGCTTTTTAGGTTTAATTAAACGTATCCATAGTTTAGTTATATTTTTAAAGCAATTCGTTTCGAAATTTAATTTCTGTAAGCTCGTTAAGTGAAAATAGTAAATACGCGATTGGAGTAAATAATCGATTCAAGAAATTACATATAACGAATAAGTGGTTAAATTTCCTAGTTTTGTTACATTAAATTCATATTTCGAAGGTAAATTATTTCATTGATTTAACAATTAAATTTCTTTGAATTCCGATAGCTAATCTTAAGCGTTAATAATGATTAAGTTAATAAGTTTTGATATAAAAGGATCAACGAATATTAAGAATGTTAAATTTATATATTAAGGTCAAACTTGATTTTTATAGTTTAAATAATTAGGTAATAATGTTAGGAATTACTAGGAACCTTAATATTAAATTGTAATCGATAAATTTCGATAATCGAAACCCTCGCGAGATTAGTACACTATTAGGAGTTTCAATCACGCTTGGGATAATTTTTGGAGCTAAGTTAGAATGGAGAATTTAAGTAGAGGTTAGGAAGCAGAGTGAAAAGATTAAAATGCCCTTACAACCCCAACGTTTCCATGCAAAACCAAACAATCCCTCTGATAGCATTTCAATCACCACCCCAATCGACCAATCACATTTTCACCAATTCTATACGCAACCATTTCATACACTCCAAAACCGTAAACCATTCTTTCTTCCTTCTCCAAAACCGCGGCACCATATTTCTACCTCATTTCTATATCGCAAACCACTACCGCAACTCCATTTCACCTCCTCTGCAACAATTCACCTCAGACCACACTCCACCTTCACCTCGTTAACATCGACTGAGATAGAGAGGGAGAGACTGAGCCGCACTCTGCAATCCGAGAGGAAAGAAAAGGAAGCTGCGAGCTGAAATTTTTTCTGTTTCTGTCAGTGAGCAAGAGAAAAGAAAGGGAGATGTGTGAGCTGCAATTCCTGTTCTGTCCGAGAGAGTGAAGTGAGAAAGGGAGAGAGAGCCGAGCCTTCTACTTCATCACCTCCTGACCGCATGCTAGAAATAAAAGTGAGAGACCTGCTGCTTTCCCTCATCTCATCCGCCAGCCTGTATAAGAGTAGGAGAGGAAACGGGCTGCACTTCGAACCATCCGAGAGAAGAAAAATTGACAGCACCTTGTCCCGTGTATAAGCTGCAACCTGAGGTAATTTCTGAGTTAGAAGGAGTTGATTAGTGGTAGATGCAGTGAATTATGGTCATGCATGAAGTGTTTGTGTCTCGGATGATGAAACCAAAGCATGAGAAAATCTGATTAGGAAGAAATTGGAATTTGCCGTGGGACTGATTTGGAAAATGCAGATTTAATTCTGTCTCTTTGTAGTAGTTTGAGCTGATAGATGCGTTTAACTAATTAAGAACAAGGTATTTAAGCTCTGCATGCAGCCCCTTGGTTCGGTTATGCTAGAAAAATAAGAATGAAAAACAATCTGGCCGCATGCAAGCTCATCCGAAGGTAGCAAACAGAATTTCTGGTTTTCTTGGATGATTATGGCTGTTGTTTGAATCTGGTTTTGAACTGGAAATCTTAATTAACTAGTTAAGTGTTTGCATGACAAATTTGAGTACTTAATATCATGTATTAGCCGAGTAAAAAGTTGGTTTTATGACCAATTAGCTGCTGGAAATTCTGTTTAGCCGATGACAGATTTATTATGGTGGAATTATTTGCCAAAATCACATGTTATTTGTTTCATTTCGTATCGGAAAATTTTGATGGTGGGCTCTATGAACTCCCACCCTTGGATTTATGATGGATATAATGCTAGTTTGGTGTTTAAATAGGTAGTTTAATGATACCTAGCTAGTCTCGACTTCAAGGGATGTGTAGTTCAAAAATGTTCAGATTTGCCCTGTTTTAATCGCACCCTTTTTGCAAAATTTTGAGGGTTTCATGACTTACATATCATGTTTATATGTTGAATATACGGTGTACAAAGTTTCATTTAAAAATATTGAGGTTTGGTTGGTCAAAGGGATCAATTTCGTGAAGCTAGTAAATCTGGAAAACTGTTTTCGTAATGCTCTGACCCGCTTTCGTATTTCGGCCATAACTCTGTGCTCCGATGTCGAAATCGAGTGCCGTCAGTGGCATTTGAAACGAGACATCCCAAGCTTTCCAACGGTATAAAATGTATGTTCTGGTTCCATGTGTGTGAGCCGAACCAACCATTTAAAGATGACTGATCTGTTTCTCTGTTTTACAAGAACAAAATGCTGAGGCTGCAACTTGTGACTCGAATTCGAGCTAGTTGTGTGCCGAATTTCAAAATGATTTCTTCTGTGAAATTATAGCTCTATGAATGTGTTTTCCAACGCCTTAAACTATGCCAAATTCTGAGTTAATTTGAGTGATCTGTGATCAAAATATGAAACCTGCTCTGCCCTTGAAAACCCTGATTTTTAGACAGATTTGATGCAAGGTTTGGCAAAGACTTGCTAACTGAATATTTTGATGCTAAACACTTACCAAATATACCATGAACGTTCTTTAAGTTTTGCCTAAACAAATGAACCAGGTTTGGAGGAATCTTTCTTTGACCAAATGTCTGAAATGGAAAAACAAAAGGTTCAAGGCAGTTTTGTCTTAGTATTTGCGAAATTTTAGGTGTTTGATTGACCACCTTTCCGAAGTTATTTTTCATGAAATTTGGTAGAGGAACAACCCTTATATGTAGTATTATACTGCTAATTATGGTGTTATTCTGAGGCCGTTTCATGGGTCAAATAAATTACCAAAGTTCATGACTCGAGTTTGAAAAACCCATGTTTCACAAGGGAATTTTAGTAACTTTGAGCTACCGTATCTTGGTGCTCAAAACCCCGTTTCTCGTTCCGTTTGTTTTGTTATACTCTTGGATTACAAAACTAATAGATTTAAAAATTTCAAAAGCTAGTTCCAAACAAGTGAATTTTGCCGAAATTCCAAAGTTGGCCAAAAACCAACTTAAATCTGCCTTATGAACCAAAACAGTAACTTTGAGCCCATTTTTGACTATCTTCCATTTAGAATCATGGAAAAGTGTATTCTAGGGACTTTTAGTACTTTCAAAGAGGTTTCCAATAGTACCAAGTTTTCCAATTTTGGGCTTGTAGAGAGTAAGATATGATTTTTCAAAGATTACTTGTTAAATCTGGAATTTTCTAACTTAAAGGAAACTAAGGAGTTTCGAACTCTTCATTTCTTTCAATATCATTTGATTGTTTTACATTTGAATCCAAAGATGGAAATCAGATTTGTCTTGTGTTTTAAAACCCCACTTTTGAACCTCGAGTTACACGAATTCTAGGCTCGTCTCCGCGTTAATTTCTTTGATTGCACTAGCGTACAATCTTCATCGAAAACTAGAGAATTCGTAGCGATATTGAGTGGTACTTGAATTATTGTTTGCTCAGGCAATCGAGGAGATCTCCAAGAGGAACTCGGAGCGGACGCCTAAAACGATTGTTTGAGACCTATTGCGCTTGTTTGACTAGGTGAGTGTTCCATATAGGAATACATAATGGAATAAGTCCAGGACATGCCCATTTCATGATTTCTAAGTATTAAGTACTATGTGTTAAATATTTACCATACCTATGCTTGAAAATGCTCGAATAACATGACTTGGTATGCTATGGTTGCATACGTCGTTGGAGTGAATCTCCTCGACTTTCACATGGTAAAAATGGGATAACGGCCAATGATGACCTATTAATATGGCAAATGCCTGCCAAATAACCGTCATTACTCAACCGTCAACCGTTAACCGTTAACTGTGAACCGTTTACCAACCCACATGACTACCTGATTACCTGACTATTTGCTGACATGATTTCTAATCTATATGATTATTCAATATCCGTAAATTACATGCTCCCATGAAATCAACTTGTATTGCTTACGTGCTTACGTGCTAAGTATCCACTTGATTATTTGATTATCATGAATCACATGTTATATGAAGTTGTCCATCATTGTTAGGCGAGTGTGTACTTTACCTCACTTGACCTATTCAAATGATGAATTTTACTTTTTGTCGAATTACTTGGTTACCTGTGCATGTTGTAAGCTATAAGCTGAACTTGGGCCCTGCCTCGGTTACTGACCTACTCGAGTCAGGACTGGGCTCGGTCGGGTAGGTTGGAACCCTGGACAACCGTTTCGGTATACTCGAGTACTACCACTGGAGGGATAAGGTGATGGCCAGTCAATCGAAGGAGTTACCGATCGGAGTTATAAGGACGGGAAGTGGACCGAGTACTGTATCCTTTTGTGCTTGCTTTGCTATTACTAATGTTATTGCTCTCCTAGTTGACTTTTCTCGGGTAAGACTCCTCATGAGCATTAATCTCTGAGATGAAGCAATCCTTGTAATGTTCTTCTAGTCAGACGAGCCACTATTTGTTTGACTAAAAATTCATGAAAATATATTTATATGGTCATTCATTCCAAAAATACGTTAGTGATTTTAGATAATTTATGAGTTGTACTCATAGTAAAGTTACCAGCAAAAGTACTACTACTACATGTGTTTTCAAAGTAGCAATTACCCGAGTAATGATTATCACCTCATGATAACCTGCCATTGTGTAACCTCGCACCATGCATATGACATGCACAACTTTCTTGATTTGTTTGAACTGTTAGAGTGTCTTGGAACCTCACTGGGCTGTGTAGCTCATTCCACGTTGTGATTTTCTTTTACAGGATTTGAGACCAAAGGTGCTCGGAAGTAGTACTAGATTGTTTACTTTCATGAATGTAATTCGAGTTAAACATTGTAGTTTTGCCTTAGGTTGCCACTTGAAACTGGAAAAGTGTAAACCCTGGATTTGTATGTGGCTTGTATGAATTTGTTACTTGGCTTGTAAGGATGTATTTGAATTGATGTTTTGTTTCTTGGGTTGTATTCGGGAAGGTTTTAAGAATCGACGTTGGCTATCTTAAGGCACTGTTATCTCTGAAGTTAATGTGATTCTAGAAACCGGCTTATTTGGAGGGAAACGATATTGTAATAGATTAGGTTATACTTCGGAAGGATTTTTGCTAGCTTGCTTGCGTGAGTCCTGGCGAGAGTTAGGCAGACGGCCCGCCAACTCTCTGGTTCGCCTTAGGGGAAAGTGGGGTCGTCACAAGGGTAATAATTGTTATTATGTGTATATACATGGTTGATTGGATGGAATTTAAGTGTGTTAATGAATGCCCATTGGACACTTATTAGAAAGACCATTATTTTTATTGGCCAATTTTTGCAATTACTAATTTGGAAATCACTTATGCAATTAACAAATCTAATCCCTACGGTACCTTGGACATTGCTCGGCTTATTTGATGTTAAAGAAGGTACATAGACAATTCAGTATTACAGGAAAGATTTTTGTGTAGAAGCTTTGCCTTTGTGGAGTGGAAGTTTATCTTATTGGCTTTTTACTGTATTCTGGTTTAGTGTAATTAACCCTTTACGCTTTAGGCAAACTTTTTGGGTTTTTTTTCAAGTAAAGACGAGTAAGATTTAAGATGTAAGGAGAGAATAAGGGCATTTAAAGTTTTCATACATAGACAGTATAAGCACTACTAGATTTAGATACCTAGCATATATATAAAAATTTGATTTTCAAATTCAAATTGAGATAATATAGGATGCATCCAAATTGGTGATATATACACTAACAATGCAAGAAAGATTAATTCTTACTTTATTTATGTACACCTTCGACACAATCAATGTAAGATTTCAGCATGAGCTTGGGTTGTAATGAATGTCAAGGTTAATCTCGCCATAAATTGTTGATAGAGCGATTATTGGGCACCTTTTGCGCTATTATTTTGTCCTAATTTTGGCTACTCACGGTGCTAAGTATTGAGATTTTGCTCATATTTTATAATTTGTGTAAATTGTAGGTGATTGGTGTTAAAAGTAATCTCTCGAGGCAAATTTCCAGAAAACCCTTTATTTCATGGCGTGCCCACGCCAAAAACTGAAGAGACACACCTAAAAGACGGACCCTGCAGGATTGATAGAAAAAAGTGGAAAATTAGGAAAATTAGGAAATCAAAAGGGGCTCGTGGGCCGTGAAAGTGCAGAGGATTAAAACTCTTCTCCTAGAGGAAGTAAAGCTCTGATGCTTTCTTTCTTTTCGGTGGCTACTTTGGGGTGAATTGGCTATAAAGCCAGATTCACGTGGGATAAGGAGATTGGCTTGGAGCTTTCTTACGTTTTTTGTTGGGATAGCAATCAGCGGCGAATAAAAAGGGCTAGATTCACATGGGATTGATAGATTAGCTTTTAGTTTCTTTTCCCTGTAGACGATTTGGCTCTCTGCTTTGGTTTTGTTACAGCTTTCATCAGACCTTTACTTTTACATTTTCTTGATCCAGTACGAACACGAAACCCAGAGATAAGCAAGACTTTTCGTCTATCTCCTAGTTCTTTCTTCTTTCCCAACTTGTTGGTAATTAATTGAATGATTTCAATTAAATCATGCGAGATTGATATGATGAGAAGCGGCTAGATTTCTCCTCTACCCAAAGGTCGATGTGAAGGCGCGGTCCATAACCTCTGTAAGATTTAATTAAATTTTCACTATTTCTTCCAATTGGTTATTATTCGTGCGTTTCCTGGATTAATTGTTCACGATTATTTTATTAATTGAGTATCAATGGCTGGATATTTAATTTAATTTAATAGTCTACTGTCACGTTAACTAAATTGAATCCTTAATTGTTCGTTTAGTTGATAACTAGTGGCAACCACCATAATTGGCTTTATGTTGGGGAAACGTAAGATTTAGTTTAAATAAACCCTCTTAGCGTGTTTATTGGTTAGGGTTGGGTTTTTCTAATTTTAATGCAATTGGATAATTAAATTCCTACGGTCGTACCTAGGGTTGTTTTCTGATTAGAGAAGCAATCAACGGTCGTACCTTGGCTGCCGAAAAAATAAGGAAAAACTGACTGTCAGAGGTTGTTGATAGCTATAACCAACCTAGTGACAAATGAATGAAATATCTTTACATCGATGATTATTTAATTGGACTGTGCCTGAAAAGTTGATCCTTTAAGTAGAATTTTATTAATTGCTATTTTTAGTAAATTGTATTTGGTGAGTTAGCTTTTGAATTTTGTCTATTTTATTTTATTTTTCATTCCATTAAATTCCCCCAATTTTGTTCTATTGACTTGGAAAGAAACAACTTCCCATCCATTCCATGTGGAATCGATCCTACTTGTCATTGTATGCAAATTTAATACTTTTATAGACAATTCTGGTATATCGGATCAAGTAAACTCTTCGGGAATAGGGTGAATCAAGTAATCCATTGCGCACCTACACCTAGGGTCCCTGCTCCAGTACTTGGATTTGTTCTATAATTAATTGTGGTGGTAATTAGAACTTTTTAGTAATTATTATTGCACAGGCTCGACATCTGTCAATTATCTCAAGCAATTCGGCCTAATAATTCAAGTTGCGACCTCTTAAATCCGTTCAAGTTGCTCTTTTCAATTTCATTGCCCAAATGATGTAACATAAACAATCAATTTGTATTAATGCCCCTTTTGTGATAGGATTAAACAAAATGCATTGTTCAAGTTATTCTTAACCGACGTTCAGTCATCGCATCGCAATTTTTTTTACACATCGATTCCCCATGATATTGGATTAATTTTTTCTATACTGTCAATGTTAGATGAATAATAATTATATAAAATTTAAATTTGAAATTTGATTTTTACATAAATACCATAAATCAGTGTACATAAAATTTACTCTTTAAATTATTCCAAGTTTCAAGATCTCGTTGATTATTATCTCCTTCAAAATAAAAGTTAGATTAAAGTAGGGTGTGCATCGAATAAAAAAATTGGTAATTTGGAAGTTTGAATTCGAAATTTTTGAAATTTTGGTATCAGATAATCCGACCGAATTCAATTTCGAATTCATCAATTTCGAATTCGAATTTATATCGAATTCAATTCGGAATTCGATAAATTACAATTTCACCGAATTCGGAAAAATTTATATATTATTATATAATATAAAATTTATAATATTTTATATAAATTTTATAATTTTATATTTTATAAATTTTATATTACATGTATAAAAAAATATATATATTAAAAATAAATTTGAAATCAAAATCGATATTTGAATTCTGATTTCAAATTGTGAATTTGAAATCGAAAAATCTAATTTGAAAAACTCTATTACTGAATTCGAACCAAATTTGAAATATATGAATTCGAAAAATCCGAACTCAATTCCGATTTTGGATTTATCGATTTCAAAAATTTCGAATTTAATTCGAATTCGGTCGATAAATCGAAATTTTTTGATTTTATACACCCCTAGATTAAAGTGAATTGTCTTGTCGCTCTTGACTGGGTACTGCATTACCATACATATAATCATTCATATTTTTTTTCACACAACAGCCCCAGCATTCAATGAGAGAAGACAATTCAGGTGAAAAAGCCAAGCAACTTCCATGCAAAATAATGAATAAATAAATTGCCAACAAACCAGGCTAATTATTTAGAATATTATCAAAAAAAGAAAAATCGGACACTTAAGACTCTGATAGGACCCGGCACCTGACACAATTTTTTTTTAAAAAAAGATCACTGGCTGCTGCGGCTGACACAGTCCGGCGGCCAGTCAAAAGTTTTTTTTTGCCCGACAGCCAGTAAATTACTACTTAAGACAGAGTAGAAAGATGATAGGAATCTATAGTTGGCAGCTTGAAACGAGGAGGGAGAGAGTAATCCTCTATTTCGGGTATGAAGTGGGGAAGCAGGTTTCTAATTGAATAGGTGATTTTTGGACAAATGAGCTGCTTCAGATATCTGGAGTGTTCTCCTGCTTGAGGAGACAGTAACACCAGGATCACCTGCTTAGATGGTTAGAGGTGGGGGCTAGGTCCCCTAGTTTTTTTCCGAAAATTAAGTTAGTTCGAGATAAGATATAAAGTTTATGTGTGAGAGTAGGATTCTATTACCAGAGATTCATCCCTTTTCTCAGTGGGTCTCCTGCTATTTATAGGGGACAATTTGGAGAGAAGGACAGTGGGGTCCAACTCTCTTGACGTCTGATTGAGACAGCCCATCCCTTGACATGTCCACTCTGGGCAGGATGTCAGAGTAGTGGTCAGTGTCAGGGGTCGTGTCGACTGTCCGGTTGTTAGGTCCTTGATAAGAACCCCAGTCATGACTATAACACGGTACCGAGGTGACGCGGAATAGCGGGGATACCTCGATCTTCAAGGCAAAAGGTACTGCCGGGGTAGTCCTGATAGACGAGACTGGTATTCCGAAATGAGGGCGTGACCTCGGTGAAGCTGAGCCGGAATGACCATCCTCACTAAGCCCCCAAGCCTCGGGAAGAAGGAACTTGTTCGTCCCTTCCCGAGGCTTCCAAATATTTCCAATGCGTAAACTTGTAATAATGACGTCACATACGTGCAAATAGGGGGAAGATGATGAGACGGCTAGCAGATTTAAGGACGATTTCCCGAAAGGACGTGAGACAACCGGTCAGATTCGCACTGCCCACCATTAATGAGGAGAGAGGATGTTCTCCTAGGGAATCTCAAACGTGCCGCCCGTTTGGTTTCGCCCCCCATGGTCTATAAATAGGGGATCCATTCCACCTTTCACTTTTTACTGCAAAAAATCTCAAATCACCTCAGAGCATTCCATTGTAGTATTATCACCTCGGCAACTTCTAAACTCCCGGTCTTTCTCAAAAGTAAGTTTACCATCTTCCTTTTCCTTTGACTATGGCTAGAACAGCACACACACACAAGGAGACGGTGAGGCCAAGCTTTGCCGAGGCAGAGAGGCCTGATCCCACCCAGGAAAAAGGAGCTTCGTCCAATTCCAGGGAAGGGATCTCGTCTAATCCCGGGGTGGAGGCTACTGAAGTAGCCCATGAGGCCGGGACATCACAAGCACTGAGCCCAGAGGAGTCCGAAGTGCTCTACAATGACGAGCTCGGGACAGAGTTACCGCACGACGAGGGCGTGCTTGAACCAGCTACCCCTCCGGATTTGTCGACCATTGACTACGGCCAGGTCCCCTTGTTCAACAGTGTCATGGGTGAAGCGCTGACGGCTGAACTGGTTTTCAGATACCCTTTTCGAGGTGACTATAGCATTTGTCCACCCGGGCCGAACCAGACAACAGAGCCCCAAAGGGTAGGGTGGCAATATATGCAGATCAATTAGAGGTCGGGCTCAGAATGCCAAGAACCAGGTTCTTTCGGGACTGCCTCAGATATTGGGGGGTGAGAATCACTCAACTCGTCCCCAATGCAGTCCGGGTCCTGGTCGACTTTGAAATGTTGTGTCGACATAAAAAAATTATCCCTACCATCAATCTCTTCCGTCGCTGTTATGTCATCAAGAACAACGGCAGTGAGAAGGGTGGTTTTACTTCGGGAATAAAGTCCCGAAGTTGGTAGTTGATGCTCCCACTTCCATAAAAGAATGGAAGCACAATTTTGTGTTCGTCCTGGCCGAGAACTTCGCGAAGGGATTTTGGTGGAGGGTAAAGGATAACTCTCCTGAGGACTTAGAGGAAGAAAACTTCCAAAAGTTGATGGAATCGGGTTTAAGGACAAATTGCTGGGAGTTCCCTGAGGCAGTCCTTGTCAAAGGCAGAATCAACCGAGCTCTCATCAGCTCGGATCACACTCCCTTCTTCTATACTAGGCTTCGAAAACCTTGTATTTTTCCATTCATTGCTTTGTTTTGTATTTTTGTTTATTTCTAAGTAACCTCACATTCTTCTTGTGCAGTAACAAGGGTATCCGACCTCATCATTTTAAGATTCGCCGTCGTGAATAAGAGGCCAACAAAGAGGAAGGCCACCACTGGAACGTCGGTTCAGCCGAAAAAGAAGACCACGGCAATAGCCGCGGCCCGTACCACTTCGGTGGTTATCACGGGCGAGACTTCCTGGACCTCGGGTATCCCGATGGAATTAGCAACCCGAGGTGTAACCCTAGCCTCTCTACCTCCGAGCTGAGGCATGACACCAATTCCCGAGGTTCCTGTGTCCGGATCATCTCTGTTCAACCTCCATCACGTGCCTCCTCAAGAAGTCGAAGAGGATAAAAGGCACTCCGGTGCACAGTGGTGCTCGGAGTGGGATCTGAATGTGAACGACCGATATAAAGATCCCAAGGTTGCCCAAGAACTCATGGTGCACTCAGTCCTTCCAAGGGACCACGTCTATGCTCGCAAGCTCACCCCACCCGAACTGATGCAGAGCGCCTCGGTAGCCTGGGTTTCTACTACGGCCTTTCTATCCGAGATGACGCAACGCTACACCAACCTCTTTGAACACTACCAGCCATCATCCCAACTTCAACAAAGGGTCGCCAAGCTAGAGGAAAAGCTCAAGGCCACTGAGCAAGAACGCGACAAGGCTGTTGTTGTGCAAGAACAAACCGAGGCCACAAACAACTCTTTGAGGACAGCTCTCGACGAAGAAAAAGGCAAAAGGGTCCAAGAAGAACAGTCAGCCAAGGAGGCAATAGAGAAGGCTGGCACCTCGGCTCTGGAAGCATTTCGCAAATCCGAGGCCTTCACACGTGATCTCGATGAGCTCACGCTGCCAAGATTCATGTTTAGATATACCTCGGCGGTCAATGACGCGGCGGCCTTTCTCTCTGCCGAGCAATTAGAATCCCTCAAAGATAAGCCCAACTTTAATAAGGATGCTAAGGAGTTGTGCGACCGTATGACCGAAGGGATTCAGACCGGCAGAGACCTGGCCGAAGTCCGGAAAGAATTCAACCAGTGGCTCTCCGAGTTCAATCCGAAGAGTGATAAGCTCGGAGGAAATGATGCTGGAGGAGGCGAGGTCGGTGGGGATCCGATGCGAGAGACAGAGGATGTTGGGGGCACCGAGGCAGGAAATGCTTAGAAGCATTCCTACCTGGGTATTTTGTAACCAAGTGCCGAGGCAATGACCTCGGCTTTTTGTAACCCTTTTTTTAATGCCAATGACTTTTTTTTACACTTAGTCTCTGTAGTCTCTGTTCCTTTATTACTCCGTACTTGTCTTGTCCCATTATTTTTTGCTTATGAAAGAATAATACCAAAAAAAATAACTAACTTGAGAGCAAGTAATTCAATAGTTGTTGGATAGACATACTTTTTATGGGTGGTACAATTTGAGATTCTCCGCATGCTAAGTTCGGGGCACTAAAGAGCCATCTCGGTAGGCCAGTTTACAATAGTTATTTCGGCTAGATTCAGTGACACGGTATGGTCTTTCCCATTTAGGAGCTAATTTTTCCTGGGGTTTAGTTCGACTAATCGAGTTTTTTCGCAAGACTAAGTCTCCAGGATTAAACCGAAAATGCCTAACTTGTGCGTTGTAATAGCTAGCCAGGATGTTCTTATATAGCGCCACTTTAGCTACTGCGATGTCTTTTTTCTCCTCGGTAAGGTCGAGATCGATTTTTCTTTCGTCTTCATTTACCTCGGTGGCAAAAACAGCTATGCGAGGGATTGGGGTGATGAATTTAGTGGGAACCACCGTTTTGGACCCATAAGTAAGAGAAAATGGAGTTTCTTGTGTAGCAGACCTTGGAGTGGTTCGATAGGACCACAGTACACTTGGGAGCTCATCTACCCACAATGATCCGACCTGACGCAACCTGATTTTTAGGCCATGGAGTAGCGTACGGTTGAAATTTTCAGCTTGTCTATTAGTTTGGGGATGCCCCACCGAGGTGAAGTGTTGGTTGATCCCGAGATTCTCACACCATCCTTTGAAGGAGTTGTCGGCAAATTACTTTTCATTATCCGAGATGACAATTCGGGGTAATCCGAAGCGACAGATTATACTCTTCCATAAGAACTTCTGGACTGCTAAGCCAGTTATGTTCCTTAGGGGTTCAACTTCAACCCATTTTGTGAAGTAATCCACTGCCACCACCAGGTAGGCATAATTGCCAGTGGCTCTAGGAAACTGGCCGATGATATCTGTTCTCCATTGTTCGAATGGCCATGACGAAGTGATGGGGATCATCAGGTTGGTTGGTTGATGGTGTTTTGAAGCATGATGCTGGCAAGAAGGACAATTGAAAACCAGGAGCTGAGAATCTCGCCGAATGGTGGGCCAAAAGTACCCAAACAGCAGAGCCTTTTTGACTAGCATCCGGTATCCAACATGAGCACCACAGAACCCCTCGTGTATATCTTGAAGGATTCTTTCTCCATCTTCGGGTGTGATACATCGCAGCCATGGGCCGAGATATGATCTCTTGTACAAGAGATTGTCCCGAAGAACGTACCGAGCTGACTTACGCTAGATCTTTCTGGTCTCGGTTCGGTCCTTCGATAGCTCTCCTCGAGCGAGAAATCACACTAGGGGACTCATCTAGGTGTCCCCAGAATAAACGGGGTACACGATTTCTTCCGAGTAGCCAGGCTTGACAAGAACTTTGACGAGGATTGTCTTGTTCAAAGCCGAGAAGGAAGTGGAGGCTAGGCAGGACAGGGCGTCGGCCCGTTTGTTTTGTAACCGAGATATCTTTTGAATCTCAAAAGACTCGAAGTGTATAGTTAACTGGTAAACCTTGGAGAGGTAACGTTGCATGACCTCCTCTCTCGTTTCGTACTCACCAAGTATCTGACATATGACGAGTTGGGAGTCACTGTTGACCAGGATACGTCGAGCATCGAGTTTGTGAGCTAACTGCAGGCCAGCTATGACCTCTTCATACTCAACTTCTTTGTTAGAAGTGGTGAAATCAAATCGAATGGCGTACGAGCACAGCTCTCCGTGCAGGTCTTCGAGGAGCAAGCCTACTCCACTACCCTCACTGTTAGAAGAGCTGTCCACGTTAGGCTTGCAAACGAGTCGAATCGAGTCAAGATTTCAGCTAATCGAGCCGAGTCTCGACTAAATTTTACCAAACACGAACTCGAACTCGAGCTCGACGAACCAGCAATTTAAAGCTCGAGCTCGAAAAAAATAAAAAATAATTCTTTTATTTTTTAAAAAATAATTCTTTTATTTTTTAAAAAATAAATAAAATAATATTTTTTTCTTAATAAATAATAAAATATTAAGAATATATATGTAATTTTACTATTAAAATAAGAAATAAAAAATATATATATGCTTAAAATAAAAAATATATATACTTAAAATAAAAAAAATAAAAAATATTATATATATATACTCGAACTCGCGAGCCGGCTCGTGAGCTAACGAGATTAATATTTTGAGCTCGAGTTCGAGTTTGATTTCGACTCGAGCTCGATATTGATCGAACTCGACTCGAGCTTGACTCGCGAGCGATTCGATTCGTTTGCAACCCTAGTCCACGTGCAGGATCCACCGCTGAGATTTGGTCTTGTCTGAGATGGATTTCTTTACTTCATCAAAAGTGAACTCCGCCAAGAAGTCAGCTAGAGCCTAAGGTTTAATGGCCGTGCGAGGCTCAAAGGATAGATCATATTCTCCCAATTCGATAGCCCATTTGGTAAGTCGTCCAGAGGCTTCGGGACGGGATAAGATCTGCTTGAGGGGCTGATCTGTTCTTAAGCAGACGTGGTGCTCCAAGAAATAAGGTTTCAACCTACGGGCTGCCTGAATCAAGGCTAGCACTAGCTTTTCAGCTTGAGTATACCTGATTTCGGGCCCTTAGAGGACCCGGCTAACATAATAAACTGGCATCCGGACGCCTTCCTCCCGTATCAGTACTGCGCTAACCGCTTCATCGGCTGCGGACAAGTATAGATATAACTTGTCCCTCGGCCGAGGTGAGATAAGGGTCGGGAGATGGTGCAAGTATTCTTTCGTCTGGTCTGAGGTTTGTTGGCATTCATCTGTCCAAGAGAACTTGTCAGCCTTCTTCAACACTTTAAAGAAGGGCAGTGCTTTGGAAGCGAATTGCGACAAAAATCGGTTCAAAGCTGCCAACCGCCCGGTTAGCCTTTGTACATCTCGGGTACACCGGGGTGAAGACATTTCTTGAATTGCCTTCACCTTATCGGGATTCGCTTCTATACCCCGTCGTGACACGAGAAACCCTAAGAATTTTTCGAGATAACCCCGAATACGCATTTCTTGGGGTTCAACATCATTCGAATAGCCCTGAGAATTTCCAAGACTTCTTTCAGGTCGGCCAAAAAGGCCGAGGTCTTTCGACTCTTCAGGAGAATGTCGTCTACGTATGCCTCAACAGTCCGGCCAATCTGATATTTGAAAATTCGATTGACCAAACGCTGGTAAGCGGCCCCAACATTCTTCAACCCGAAGGGCATGGTGGTGCAACAATATACGCCTTGGTCGGTGTAAAAAGCCGTCTTTTCCTGATCCTCCTCGCTCATTCCAATCTGATGAGAGCCCTTAAAGGCATCAAGAAAACAGCAGGACCTCATATCCCATCGCCGAGTCCACCAAGGCGTCGACTCTTGGCAGTGGGTAGCAATTTTTGGACAGGCCTTGTTCAGGTCGATGAAATCTACGCATATCCTCCATGCCCCGTGTGCTTTTTAACCATGACGGGTTAGATAATCAGGTTGGATATTACACCTCCTTGATCATCTTCGCCGGTAAGAGGTTTATCCACCTCTTCATCCGCAACTTGATGGCGCTCTGAGCCAAGTGCCGTCTCTTTTGTTTTACTGGACGTGCCTGGGTCAACGTTCAACTCATACAACATGAGATGATGTGGCACCCCTCTAACCTTTTCAGCAGTCCACGCGAAGATGTCCCGATACTCTTTTAAGAGGCTAATCATCTGGCCTTTAAAAGGATCGGGCAAGTGGATGCCGACATAGACCGTTTGTTCAAGTTTTGCTGGCTCCAGGGTAATATCTTCTACCTCATCTCTAGTCTCCAGCCTTTTTGGCTTCTCGGTCTGCTGAGGATTGATACAATCAATTGAAAGAATATTCGACCTCCTCTCAACCCTTGGCTCAGAGCTCGAAGTGGATGCAGCCTGTAGGGTAGCGATATAACATTCTCGCGCAGCACAAACATCACTACTCACTTCGGCGATGCCCGCCGAGGTTGGAAACTTGAAATTCAAATGATATGTGGAATATACCGCATGTAAGGCATTGAGTGTAGGCCGACCCATAAGTAGGTTGTAAGGAGAGTCAGTTTTAACTACAACGAAATTGACGGGAATGGTTCGGCAGCGGGGTGACGTCCTACAGTTACCATCAGGGTGATCATCCCTTCGAGATGCACCACGTGTCCCCCGAACCCTACAAGAGGGGTTCGAACTAGGGTCAATTGCTCCTTGGTCAACTTCAGGTTTTCGAAGGTCCGGAAATACATGACGTCAACCGAACTCCCTGGATCGACGTACACTTTTTTAACAAAGTAATTGTTGGTGAGCACCTCTATCACTAGGATCTCATGACTGCTTGAAGCGGCAGGGACCTGGTCACTAGGTCCATAGGTGATCACTTCAGACAGGCGAGAGTTTGGCTCGACCTGATCAAGATGAGCTTGCCCATAGGTCCTCTTAAGGGAGTTTTGGCTATTTCTTCCCGTCGGGTCTCCAGCTATGATGTTTATGACCCCAGTCATGTTTGGGCCGTAGCCGAATCCACCACCAGGGGACCCGTCTCTGAAGGGTCTCTTCGGCTCCCTAGGATCTTGTGGGGGTCGACAGCTACTTCTCGATCCCCGTTTTTCATCTCGGCGCTGTTCACTTCGGTGGTCGCGACGAGAATCACTTCTGTTTCTTTCTTCGTCTCGATTGACGAACTGCTTCAGATATCCTTGCTTAATTAGACTCTCAATGTCCTTCTTCAGGTCATTGCAATTTTCGGTCTCGTAGCCAATATCTCTGTGGTAGGCACAATAGAGATTAGAGCTTCTTCTCTCTCTACTTCTAGCCATCCGTGGAGGTGCACGGCCGAGATGATTCTACTCCATAACAGCAAGGA